ATGGCACTGGGGAAGATGCATTGGAAGCATACTGGACCAAGATCCTTTTCTCAACACACAAATGACAGGCCGATCCCAAATCTCTAACAAAAGAAGAAACAACACCAATCTTATTATTCCATCAATCACGTACATAAAATACGTCTTTTCAATAAATTAACTCATTACTTATAAGGTCACCATTACTCCGAAAATTGCCCATATTGTGTTCTTCATTCTAACAACGTCCATGTATACTCAAAAACAAAAATGTAAGATATTGCAGCTGACCACTCCGCAAATGTGGTGGTTGCATTTGTTTTCTTTTTTTAGGCTTTTTTTTCTATTTTTCCTCTGGTGGCTCTACCAGAAGCACACTTCCCTTTATACACTTCACTTCATAAATAAATAAATTGTGGGCACTACTTAAAAACTTGTGATAAATAAATAAATTGTGGGCACTACTTAAACACTTGTGATAAATAAATAAATTGTGGGCACTAGTTAAACACTTGTAATAAATAAATAAATAAATTGTGGGCACTACTTAAACACTTGTAATAAATAAATAAATAAATTGTGGGCACTACTTAAACACTTGTGATAAATAAATAAATTGTGGGCACTAGTTAAACACTTGTAATAAATAAATAAATAAATAAATTGTGGGCACTACTTAAACACTTGTGATAAATAAATAAATAAATTGTGGGCACTACTTAAACACTTGTGTAAATAAATAAAATAAATTGTGGGCACTACCTAAACACTTGTAATAAATAAAATAAATTGTGGGCACTACCTAAACACTTGTAATAAATAAAATAAATTGTGGGCACTACCTAAACACTTGTAATAAATAAATAAATTGTGGGCACTACCTAAACACTTGTAATAAATAAATAAATTGTGGGCACTACTTAAACACTTGTAATAAATAAATAAATAAATTGTGGGCATAAATAAATATATAAATTGTGGGCACTACTTAAACTTGTAATAAAAAAAATAAATTGTGGGCACTACTTAAACACTTGTAATAAATAAATAAATTGTGGGCACTACTTAAACACTTGTAATAAATAAATAAATTGTGGGCACTACTTAAACACTTGTAATAAATAAATAAATAAATTGTGGGCACTAATTAAACACTTGTAATATATAAATTGTGGGCTCTACTTAAACACTTGTAGTAAATAAATAAATTGAAGGCGCTACCTAAACACCTGTAATAAATAAATAAATTGTGGGCACTACCTAAACACTTGTAATAAATAATTTGTGGGCACTAATTAAAAACTTGTAATAAATAATTTGTGGGCACTACTTAAACATTTGTAATAAATACATTTGGGGGCACTACTTATACATTTGTAATAAATACATTGGGGGCACTACTTAAATGCTTGTAATAAATAAATAAATTTGTGGGCACATTTTAAATAGCTGTAATAAATAATGAAATCAGGGTACTACCTAAATACCTGTAATAAATAAATACATTGTGGGCACTACCTAAATATCTGTAATAAATAAAAATATATAAATAAATAATTGTAGGCACTAATGAAATATCTGTAATAAATAAATAATAATAAATAAATAAAATAAATAGTGGGCTATGCTTAAATAACTGTAAATAAATAAATAAATAAATAAATAACCTGTGGGTACTTCCTTAAATAAATACATAATTGTGGGCACAACTTAAACCTCTGTAATAATAAATAAATAAATAATAATGGGGATGGTGCCTGCATAGCTCTGGGTCTAATGCCACTTGGCAGAGCCAGCAACATAGTACCAATGATCTCTTCAGCAGTCTTTAAGGGTGTAATTCTGGCCACCACTGTAACGGAGGCACTCTTCCACTGGCCGTCGATATAAAGGACATTTTCCCAATGACCCCATGGAATATTTATAGCAGGAGTTCCCTGAGACCTGAAAATTATGTTAAGGGTTCCTGCTCAGTAAAAAGTTGGGAAATGTTGCTCTAACCTCTAAGGAGAACCTCAGAAGATACCCATGAATCAAAGAACCAAGCTGATCTCACCCTTTCCCAAAACGTTTTGTTTTTACAATTCCTCATCACACACCAGTATAAATGAAACACAAACCATTCTATGGCCATTGCTTCCTAGAGAGCTACCAATAACAGAAAACCTAACCCTTGTCCCATATGGGAGAAAAATATATTTGAAATATATTTTAAATATTCTTTCCAAATATATTGACATATATGGGAATTGCTACAATTTTGGCCATATTCAATATATTTCAAAATATATTTCATTAAATATATATATATATATATATATATATATATATATATTTATATATATATATATATCTTATGTTGAAATGTGTTTTTATTACAAAATATATGAAAACTATTTTTAAAAATACATTTCAAATATACTGTATGTCTTTAAAAATACAAATCTACATTTTTGGAGTGCATTTGCAAGTATATGTAAAAATATATGTTAAAATTATTTTTTTATATGTTAAAAAAATCTGAAGAATATATAAAAAAAAATATTTTTAAAAATATCACAAATTTGGATAAAAATAGTTAAGGGTTAAGACCACTATCAGGTTATTTCAGCTGCCGGTTTTCCACGGGAATAGTTTCCTTAATGTCCTGTCTTAGAAATGAAACAGGATGGGAGAATAAATCTCCCAAAGGTGAAAAAAAATTCGAACTTGATAGAACATTTGACCCCATTGGAAGACTGCCCCCCCACCTCCCGTGAGTACTCTGAAATTTAGAATTTCCCTTTACTCGCTGTCTTGGTGAAGGTCACCTGGATAGTTATAGGGGTGACTCTGCCTAGTCTTTAAAGGCCCCCCCTTCATCAAGGCTACATGGGGGAACCAACATAAAATGTATACTTGTATTGTAGCTCTGATGATGAAGAGGGACCCTCCATGATGTGTAGAAGAAGGAGAACCAAGTTGATCTAACCCTTCCACCAAAAAAAGTTTTGTCTTTACACGTTAAATAAGAAAAAAACTTTCAATATTATGGAGAGATGCCCACTACGTACAGTGCAGCCTAGCTCTGATGAAGAGGGACCCTTTTGAGGCCCCAAAGCGCTTTGGCTTTTCTTGAACACTCCTTCTGAAAAGTCTTGTTTCTGGACTCTACAATAGTGTGTCCCGCACTTGCCTCGCCACACAGCATACAAGGCCTCTCTATGGCCATCACTCTTTTGAGAGTACCTGAGCTCTAGCTCATTTCGGAACAAATGTTTGAACCAGTGGTACCGTGTCCCATACCTCCTCCTACTCATAGCAAAAAAAAACTTGGGTTTAACCAGCCATTCTCAACCAGGATTCTGTGGAACTATAGGGCTCCCCCCATTGATTGCTAGAGCTTCCTTGAGCTGTGAATGATTGAGCTTCCACCTGATTGTGTCTACATAGTTCTCATGAGCCAGCAACATGACACCAAAGATCAATTTTGAGCTGTCTGTAAATGCATGATTCCGACCACCACTGTAAGGGAGCCATTCTTCCACTGACCACCAACGTAAAGGACATTTTTACAATGACCCCCAATGAACATTTATAGCGGGAGGTCCCTGAGACCTGGAAATTATTTGAGGGGTTCCTGTGGTATAAAACGTTGGAAAAGTTTGATCTAGCCTCTAAGGGGAAGCTCAGAGGACATCCATGAAGTGTAGAAGAAGAAGAACCAAGGAACCAAGTTGATCTAACCCTTCCCCACTCTACTGGGTTCCAAAAAAAGTTTTGTCTTTACACGTTACATAAGAAAAGAAACTTTCAATATTATGGACAGATGCCCACTACGTTCATTGCATCCTATGAATTCTGATGCTCGCCAACAGTTCTGGATCTCTCACCAGCCACTGGATCTCTCACCAGCCACTTTATTACTAGGTACACCTTACTTGTGCCAAGAAAATATCCTCTACACCACAGGTGTCAAACTGGTACCCTCCAGCTGTTGCCAAACTACAAGTCCCATGAGGCATTGCAAGATTGACAGTTACAAGCACAACTCCCAAAGATGGAGGCATGACTGGCGGACCTCCAGCTGTTGCCAAACTACAAGTTCCATGAGGCGTTGCAAGATTGACATTTTCAAGCATGACTCCCAAAGACAGAGGCATGACTGGCGGACCTCAAGCTGTTGCCAAACTACAAGTCCCATGAGGTGTTGCAAGATTGACAGTTACAAGCATGACTCCCAAAGACGGAGGCATGACTGGCGGACCTCCAGCTGATGCCAAACTACAAGTCCCATGAGGCATTTCAAGATTGACAGTTACAAGCATGACTCCCAAAGACGGAGGCATGACTGGCAGCCCTCCAGCTGTTGCCAAACTACAAGTCCCATGAGGCGTTGCAAGATTGACAGTTTGAAGCATGACTCCCAAAGGTAGAGGCATGGCTGGCGGACCTCCAGTTGTTGCCAAACTACAAGTCCCATGAGGCGTTGCAAGATTGACAGTTTCAAGCATGACTCCCAAAGACAGAGGCATGACTGGCAGACCTCCAGCTGTCGCCAAACTACAAGTCCCATGAGGCGTTGCAAGATTGACAGTTACAAGCATGACTCCCAAAGACAGAAGCATGACTGGCGGACCTCCAGCTGTTGCCAAACTACAAGTCCCATGAGGCGTTGCAAGACTGACAGTTATAAGCATGCCTCTCAAAGACAGAGGCATGATGGGACTTGTAGTTTTGCAACAGCTGGAGGGCTACCAGTTTGACATCCCTGCCCTACACCATCACACCACCAACCTGAACCGTTGACACGAGGCAGGATGGATCCATGCTTTCATGTTGTTTATGCCAAGTTCTGACCCTACCGTCTGAATGTTGCAGCAACCAGTCTGCCCATTCTCCTCTGACCTCTGACATCGACAAAGCATTTTGGTCCAAACACCTGCTGCTCACTGGATATTTTCTCTTTTTTGGACCATTTTCTGTAAACCCTAGAAATGGCTGTACGTGAAAGTCCAAGTAGATCAGCAGCTTTTTAAATGCTGTGACCAGCCAACAGGCACCAACCACCATGCCACGTTCAAAGTCACTTAAATCCCCCTCCGTGTGAACTTCAGCAAGTCATCTTCACCACGTCCAGATGCCTAAATGTATTGAGTTGCTGCCAATGCGATTGGCTGATTAGCAATTTGTGTTGAACGGATGTACCTAATAAAGTGGCCGGTGAGTGTAAAGTGGACCGACTTCACAGAACAAGGAGGACATAACTGAACAGAACCGTTGTGGCTTGGGCAGATAAAATAAATTCGAAACTTGCGCCAAGGGTTTCACCAAGGAAGGTCAAAGAAGAAAGAATTCTCTCGGGAAAGCCTGGATTCAAAGAAATGCATGCAATAGCTTCTCATCAACGTTCACCTTTCAAAGATGTATCCATCAATTGGTGGAAACCACTCCAGGGTGACTGAGGTATAGGTGTGCTCAATAATCTGTGGAGCAATTGCTACCGGTGGAGGTTTGGAGAAGGGCTGCCAGCCTTGGTAGACTAGGTCTAGATAGCAGTGCATTCTGGCAACTTGATTGGGAGTGAAGGAATCAGTGCAGTCATCATCTGAAAGGAAAACCATGAGAAGGATATATGCATTGTTATGGGACAGTCTGCCTTGAGCAACCTTAAAAAAAAAAAAAAGCCTGCATATTTTGAAGTATATTTCGAGTTAATGATCTGTGAACGACTTTGTTCAGTCATCATTTTTTTTTTTTACAGGGAAAGAAAAAACGAAACATCTTACTCCCTCCTGTCCAGGAACAGGGCTAGCCTGTGAAAATTAGAAGGTCATATCAAGGTTTGTGAAAATCCACAAAGGCTTCCACAGAACGCGAATCTCACCCTCTGATCTCCGAGTCAATGTAGCATTTTGTTATTTCCCACTTTGCCTGTTTTTTTTTTTTTATTATTATTATTTATTTATTTTTGAGCAAGTTGAAGTTCAGGCAGATATAAAAGAACCAAAGCAATGACATTTTGTATTCAATAATGCGTCATTAAGTATCTTCTTCTTTTTTTTTTTTCAAAGGCAAGCAGTGTAGGTACCTGAATTTGACCCAACATCCGAGCTCAGACCAGGAGCTAGGAAGGAACTTGTTGATAGGAGGAGGCATCATAGAGACATCAGAGTGTGCTGCTTTTCCTTTCACTGGAGGCTTTTCTTTTGCTGCCTATACTTCCCTTTAGTTCCTATCCAAGAGATGCGACTGTAAGGCTCCTTTCACACGAGCGGACCGATGGGGTCTGCCTATCCATTTTCCAAGCGCACCCGATCAGATCCCCATCCATCTGTTTTTGGCATACAGGATCAGATTCTGGAGGTTGCCAGCAGACTATTTTCCACTGACACCCGCCGGACCACAGAAGTCTACGGATGGACCATCAATAGACTTCTACGGACAATAGTCCGCTGACATCCGCCGGACCACAGAAGTCTATGGATGGATCATCAATAGACTTCTACGGACAATAGTCCGCTGACACCCGCCGGACCACAGAAGTCTATGGATAGACCATCAATAGACTTCTACGGACAATAGTCCGCTGACACCCGCCGGACCACAGAAGTCTATGGATGGACCATCAATAGACTTCTACGGAAAACAGTCCGCTGACGCCCGCCTGACCACAGAAGTCTATGGATGGACCATACATAGACTTCTACGAACAATAGTCCGCTGATGCCAGCTGGACCACAGAAGTCTATGGATGGACCATACATAGACTTCTACGGATAAAAGTCCGCTGACGCCAGCCGGACCACAGAAGTCTATGGATGGACCATCCATACACTTCTACGGACAATAGTCCGCTGACATCTGCCGGAGCACAGAAGTCTATGGATGGACCATCCATAGACTTCTACGGACAACCGTCCGCTGACACCCGCCGGACCATAGAAGTCAATCGATGGAAGTGCTCTACTATTAAAAGTCAGCAGCTACAGTATTTGAAGCTGCTGACTTTTTAATTTTTTTTTTAAGGGGGGGGGGCATAACGCCTCTTTAAAGGAGGAGGCCCAGATGTGTGCCAATCTCTGGATGTTCCTCAGCTTCCCAAGACCTGTGTTCCTGCTCTGGTTGTCTAATCCCCCATTGGTGACCCAGCCTACTCCTGACCTTGCTGTGTGGATTCTGGACTCTACCCCGGCTTGCCTCTGACTGTACTCTGCTGTCTTCCTAGTATTGACCTCCGCCTGCTGCTTGACTAAGCTTACTCCTGCCCCTCGTGTATGGCTCAGACTAGACTACTGACTTCCTTGCTGTCCATCCATGCTGACCCTGGCTTGCCATGTGACCACGTCCTTGTTTGCATTGAGAACCTGCATCCACCTCTGTGTCCTCGCAGTCTCTGTACCAAGCTTCCAAGGTTCAGTTCCTAGGTGCTTTCCTGCAAGCTCCTATCCTTGGTCCTCCTCTGGTGTGCCTGCATTGCTCCAGACTTAAGCTCAGAGACTACTGCTGCCGGCACCTGTGCTTCTTACTGCCCTATGCACTTGTTCGCAAAATCAGGGGTACTCGAACCAAAACTGAAGGGAGAAGTCCTCTCATCATTTTGACCTCCAATCAAGGTACATTACACATGGTTTGGAGGCTCTTTTCCACCTAAAAGCTCTCAGAGCCTCCAAATTTCCAGGTCTGAAAAGAGCTCTTACCACTCCACAGTGTACCAAGTTCAGTTCTCTCCTGTTCCACTGTACTACTCCATTCTGCTTTGGTGAGAATCCATGAGTACTAAAAACGCTTCCCACACTATGGTGTGCCTGCATTGTTCCAGACTGCAAGCCAAAGACTACTGCTGCCTGTTACCTAAATACCGGCACCTGTGCTTCTTACTGCCCTATGCACCTGTTCCCAAAATCAGGGGTACTGGAACCAAAACTGAAAGGAGAAGCCCTCTCATAATTTCGACCTCCAATCAAGGTACGTGACACATGGTTTGGAGACTCTTTCCCACCTAAAATCTCTCTGAGCCTCTGAATTTCCAGGTCTGAAAAGAGCTCTTTCCAATCCAGAGTGTACCAAATTTAGTTCTTTTCTGTTCTACTGGACTACTCCATTCTGCATTGGTGAGAACCCATAAGTACTAAAAATGCCTCCCACACTCTCCCTTAAAAGAACCGCAACCCAAATAGTGGGGAAATATATCTTCTACGCTTCTATCCTCCATCCCTGGCATCCTGTACAGTATTTACAAAAGAACCAAGGCAATTCGAGGGCCAGAACTCCCTTGCCCTTCATCAGGGCTGAAAAAATGGGAAAACAGGCTACTCCAACTAGCTTCTGATGAACACTATATTGCCAAAGTATTGGGCCGCCTTTCCACGCACATGACCTTTAATGGCCTCCCAGTCTTACTCCGTAGGGTTCAATATTGGGTTTGGCCCTGCCCTTTGCAGCTATAACAGCTTCAACTCTTCTGGGAAGGCCGTCCACAAGGTTTAGGACGGTGTCTATGAGAAGGTTTGACCATTCTTCCAGAATTTCCCTTCTTGGCTGAGTTGCTGTTGTTCCCAGTTGCTTCAACTTTGTTATAATCCCACTAACAGTTGAGCGTGGAATATTTAGTGGCCAGGAAATGTCAAGGATGGACTTATTGCACAGGTGACAACCTATCACGGGACCACGCTTGGAGTCACTGAGCTCCTAAGAACGACCCATTCTTTCACCAATGTTTGTAGAAGCAGTCTGCATGCCTAGGGGCTTGATTGTATACACCTGTGTCCATGGAGGGGATTGGAACACTTGAATCCAATGATTTGGGGGGCGGGCCCAATACTTTTGGGAATACCCATATGGAAGAGAAATATATTTTCTATATATTTAGAAAATTAAATAATACATGCGACATATATTTACAATATATTGGCCTATGCAAATATATTTTAACATGTATTCCAAAAATGTAAATTAAAATATATTTTCCAAAGGCATATATTTAAAAATATATTTTTCAAAATATATTTTTCCAGATATTTTTGAACATCTAAAAAAATGCATTTAAACAAGGATTTTTAAATATGCTTGTAAATCCATTCCAAATTACACTTTGATATATATTGCAGCATGTGTTTTGAATATATTTTTAATAATATATTCACAAATATATTGAAATATATTTTTGAAATATATTGAATATGTCCAAAATTGTAGTACTTGAAATATATGTCAATCTATTTGGGAAGAATATATTAAGAATGTATTTTTAAAATATATTTAAAATATATTTTTCTTCCATGTGGGTACAGTGTGTATTATGCAAACTGGTTAAAACAACACCTACCTTGTATTTCTATTCCAGCCCATTTACATTGCTTTCCTATTTATAATCCCTGATGAAGGGGGAAAATTCTGGCCCCCGAAATGCGTTGCCTCTTTTATAAAGTTATCTACTTAAACGTTTGTAGAAATACATTTATATCTGGACTATTAATTCATGGCACAGAGCTTAAATGTCAAAACCATTTAGGTGCACCACAAACCAGTGAAACCAAGGAAATCCCATGGTTTGTAGGAAGCAGCCAACCCAGAATCCATACACCCTGTTCAGACACCCACATGGAAGAAAAATATATTTTAAATATATTTTAAAAATACGTTTTTAACATATTTTTCCCAAATATATTGACATATATTTCAAATACTAAAATTTTGGCCATATTCAATATATTTCAAAAGTATATTTCAATATATTTGTGAATATATTACTAAAAATATATTCAGAACACATGCTGACATATATTGTTAATATATTGGCCTACACAAGTATATTTTAACATGTATTCCAAAAATGTAAATTAAAATATATTTTCCAAAGGCATATATTTAAAAATATATTTTTCAAATTATATTTTCCAGATATTTTTGAACATAAAAAAATACATGTAAACATAGATTTTTAAATATACTTTTAAATGTATTCCAGATTACACTTTGAAATATATTTCAGCATGTGTTCTGAATATATTTTTAGTAATATATTCACAAATATATTGAAATATACTTTTGAAATATATTGAATATGGCCAAAATTTTAGTATTTGAAATATATGTCAAGAAAAATATATTTTAAATATATTTTAAAAATACATTCTTAATATATTCTTCCCAAATATATTGACATATATTTCAAATACAAAAATTTGGGCCATATTCAATATATTTCAAAAGTATATTTCAATATATTTGTGAATATATTATTAAAAATATATTCAGAACACATGCTGAAATATATTTCAAAGTGTAATCTGGAATACATTTAAAAGTATATTTAAAAATTTATGTTTACATGTATTTTTTTAGATGTTCAAAAATATCTGGAAAATATCATTTGAAAAATATATTTTTAAATATATGCCTTTGGAAAATATATTTTTAATTTACATTTTTGGAATACATGTTAAAATATATTTGTGTAGGCCAATATATTAAAAATATATGTCGCATGTGTTCTAAATATATTTTTAATAATATATTCACAAATATATTGAAATATATTTTTGAGATATATTGAATATGGCCAAAATTGTAGTATTTGAAATATATGTCAATATATTTGGAAAGAATATATTAAGAATGTATTTTTAAAATATATTTAAAATATATTTTTCTTCCATGTGGGTATGCACTCCACCTGTGTATTTATGGATCTTCCTAGAGTTTAGCTTTACCTAGCTTTGGAACGTTCGTGCCGTGGGAATCACCTCTAAACGCCGCTCTGCAATGCCAAGCATTTTCTGAAGAGCTCAACATGAAACATTCATTTCATTGGCTATAAATATCAGTCCACATAATAAAATAGCTTGGATGTACCAAACCTAGCAGGAAAGCGCACAAGTTCATCACCCAATTGTGAGTCTGGCCATCGATGTCGAAACATTTTTGTTATCAGATTTAAGGCTACATTCAGGAATTTTCTTAATAATTGATGGCCATTATAGGAGGGTCTTGTAAAAAGCCAAAATGTACTTGCCAAGGCCTGCAGATTTTTATAACCTGCATAAAGGAGCAAAAAACACATAAACTCAGTTTAAAGAGAAAAAAACGAGTTTTAATACAAAATTCACCTAAAGTATATTATTATTATACAGGATTTATATAGCGCCAACAGTTTGCTCAGCACTGTACAATATAAAGGGAGACAATACAGCAACAATACAGTTCAATACAAGAGGGATAGGAGGGCCTGATCCTGGGAGCTTACAATCTAAGAGTATCTAACCCAATCACTAAAACGCGTTGATATAAATAAGTGACATTTAATCTTTGTAATCTGCAAATTGTATTAAAAATATAATATCTCGTGATCCTGCCATGAAGGTCCTTCCCACATGGAAGAAAAATGTGGGGGCACATTTTGTCCAGGGACAGGCCCAGATTTAGGGAGGCTGTCCCCAAACAAAACGTGTTCCAGTTGTAGCGCGGGACAAATTTGGAAACAGAGGATGTCTGGTCACCTTACCCTGCCAAATAACCCACATGGAAGAAACATATATTTGAAATATATTTTAAAAATATCCTTTCAAAATATATTCACATATATTTGAAATATATATATATATATATATATATATACACACACAATATGAATATTATGTATATATACACACTGCATGTTGAAATGCGTTTTTTTATATACTACAAAATATGTGAAAAATATTTTTAAAAATATATCTTTTTAAAATATATTCTTCAGATTTTTTTTAACATATATAAAAGTCATGCTAACATATATTTTTACATATATTTGTAAACACATTCCAAAAATGTAGATTAAATGCATTTTTAAGGAAATACAGTATATTTGAAAATGTATTTTTAAAAATATTTTTTATACATTTTGTAATAAAAACGCATTTCAACATACAGTATATATACCCCAGACACCGGACTAAACTCCTCCTACGCCCTACATGTATTATTATATATATATAGTATATATATTATATATGTTTGTATTGCAACTAAAATATATTTTGAAATATATTTAATATGGCCAAAATTGTAGTATTTCAAATATATGTCAATATATTTGAGGCAATCAAGCATAATATTTTTAAAAAATACTCATTTCAAATATATTGTTTCTTCCATGGTTGTTTATTTGGTAGGGTAGATTGGATGTTAAACATACCAGACACCTTATTTTAATTTACATTTTTGGAAGCATCATTCGCAAATTCAAGGCAAAGGGCACTGTTGAAAAACGCTACCTGGTCGTGGCAGAAAGTAAGATGCTGACTTCGATGCTGTTTCCTGAAGGGATAGTCCTAAAAGATTTGTCCAAGACTATGACTGGAACACTGCGTAATTTGTTCCCAGGGGGACAGTCTGCCCTAAAACATGTGGGACTGTCCCTGGATGAAAACAAAAAATGTGTCCCCATTTATAGTCTGTGGCCCCACTTGTAGCTCATGTCTGGCAGCTTCTCAAGGTTTACAAGCCAATCAGCCGAGGCATAGTGCTTATTCAGTGTGCAATAGGCTTACCTATTGTAATTCCTTCTCAGGAGATATTGGATGGAAATGATGGCCTACCTAATCGCAGGCTATCCCCCTGGAACATTTTTCCAGTCTATCATGAATCTGGTGCTTGCCAGTGCGACTCTGAATGGAGGCCACCTTACCAACCATCGCTGCAAGACATGTCAAGCTATGCCACGTTTAAAAGCTGTTATAACCTGTCTAAGTACTAAGATTGAATGTCACTTGGGGGTTGAATAAAACTGATATAATGCTGTCACAGAAAAGACTCATTATAACTGTTATGTTATATTTGTCTGACCTACAAGTGCCTCCCCTGAATGATCAAAAGCAATGTCAAACTGCCAAAACACCTCAGTGGGGGTTGAATAATTTTGGACACAACTGTATATATATATATATATATATATATATATATATATGTGTGTATTGAAATATATTTTGAAATATATTTAATATGGCCAAAATTGTAGTATTTCAAATATATGTCAATATATTTGGGAAGAATATTTTTAAAATATATTTCAAATATATTTTTCTCTGGTAGGGTAGGGTCCCTGTTTCCAGGGATAGTCCCAAATTTGTCCAAGACTCTGGAACACATTTTGTTTGGGGACAGTCTCCCTAAAACTGGGACCCTCTGTGTCCCCATAGTCTGTGGCCCCACTTGTAGCTCTGTCTGGCAGCCTCATCAAGGTTTGAAAGCCAATCAGCCGAGGCATAGTGCTTATTGACTATTGTAACTCCCTTCTCATTGGCCTACCTAATCGCAGGCTATCCCCTCTTCCGTCTATCATGAATGCTGCTGCCAGACTCATCCACCTTACCAACCATTCCATGCCTGCCATCCCTCTCTGCCAATCCCTCCACTGACCTCCACTCTGTGTCCTCCACCCCTCTCTGCCAACCCCTCCACTGACCTCCTCTCAGTGTCCACCATCCCTCTCTGCCAATCCCTCCACTGACCTCCTCTCAGTGTCCACCATCCCTCTCTGCCAATCCCTCCACTGACCTCCTCTCAGTGTCCTCCATCCCTCTCCGCTAATCCCTCCACTGCCACTCTGTGTCCTCCACCCCTCTCTGACCTGGCCTCACTCAGTGTCCACCATCCCACTCTGCCAATCCCTCCACTGACCTCCTCTCAGTGTCCACCATCCCACTCTGCCAATCCCTCCACTGACCTCCTCTCAGTGTCCACCATCCCTCTGCCAATCCCTCCACTGACCTCCTCTCAGTGTCCACAATCCCCTGCAAATCCCTCCACTGACCTCCACTCAGTGTCTACATCCCACTGTGCCAATCCCTCCACTGACCTCCTCTCAGTGTCCACAATCCCACTCTGCCAATCCCTCCACTAACCTCCACTCAGTGTCCACAATCCCACTGTGTTAATCCTTCCACTAACCTCCACTCAGTGTCCACAATCCCACTGTGTTAATCCCTCCACTGACCTCCACTCAGTGTCCACAATCCCACTGTGCCAATCCCTCCACTGACCTCCACTCAGTATCTACCATCCCTCTCTGCCAAACCCTCCACTGACCTCCACTCAGTGTCCACCATCCCCCTCTCTGCCAATCCCTCCACTGACCTCAACTGAGTGTCCTCCATCCCTCTCTGCCAATCCCTCCACTGACCTCCACTCAATGTCCCCCCCCTCTCTGCCAATCCCTCCACTGACCTCCACTCAGTGTCCTCCACCCCTCTCTGCCAATCCCTCCATTGGCTTCCCATTGCCCAACGGATAAAATTCAAAACATGAACAATAACATATAAACCATTTATAACTCTGCCCCAAATTACATCACCGATCTTGTCTCTAAATATCAACCAAACCATCCTCTCATGACCTCCTGCTCTCTAGATCCCTTGTCTCTGCCTCCCATGCTCATCTCCAGGACTTCTCCAGAGCCTCTCCCATCCTCTGGAACTCTCTACCCCAATCTATCCGACTATCGCCTACTCTGCCCACTTTTAGGCAATCTCTTTAGGGAAGCCTATCTTGCCTTCAGCTAATAATGGAATCTTCTATTCCTCCTACCAGTCCATCACCCACAGTTATTACCTTTTGTACCACCAGCCCCTCCCTCTTAGATTGTAAGCTCCCAGGATCAGGGCCCTTCTAACCCTCTTGTATTGAACTGTATCATTGCTGTATTGTCTCCCTTTTATTGTAAAGCGCTGAGCAAACTATTGGCGCTATATAAATCCTGTAAAATAATATTAATGATGCTGCATTCCTCTTACCCTTCCTCTCCTCTCCACCACTTGATGGGACAACATGGCCCAGCCCAGGAGGAAGTAGAAGAATCTGCAATGTGTTTAGCCCTGCCCCCTCCACCAGTCCCATGTTCTTCAGTTCTTCAATTCACTGTGGTAATAAAGGTATAGTAGCTGTGTCTACTTCAGTGATTCCCAGCTTCTAGAGGGATCCCCCAGGTATGGTATACACACTCACTGGCCTCTTTATTAGGTAGACCTGTTCAATCGTTTTGTAACACAAATTGCTAATCAGTCCACCACTCGATGCATTTAGGCATCTAGATGTGGTGAAGACGACTTGCTGAAGTTCAAACTGAGCATCAGAATGGAGAAGAAAGGGGATTTTTCAAAGTGACTTTGAACGTGGCATGGTTGTTGGTGCCAGATGGGCTGGTCTGAGTATTTCAAAAACTGCTGATCTGCTGGGATTTTCACGCACAACCATCTCTAGGGTTTACAGAGAATGGTCCAAAAAAGAGAATATATCCAGTGAGTGGCAGTTGTGTGGATGAAAATGCCTTGTTGTTGTCAGAGGTCAGAGGAGAATGGGCAGACTGGTTCGAGATGATAGAAAGGCAACAGTAACTCCAATAGGCACTCGTTACAACCAAGGTATGCAGAATACCATCTCTTAATGCACAACACATCCAACCTTGAAGCAGAGATGGGCTACACAGCAGCAGAGACCACACCGGGTGCCACTCCTGTCAGCTAAGAACAGGAAATGGAGGCTACAATTCGCACAGGCTCACCAAAATTAGACAATAGAAGATTGGAAAAAACGTTGCAGGTCTGATGAGTCTCGCTTTCAACTGCGACATTCAAATGGTAGGATCAACAACATGAAAGCATTGATCCATCCTGCCTTGTATCAACGGTTCAGGCTGGAGGTGGTGGTGCAATGGTGTGGAGGATACTTTCTTGGCACACTTTTGGCCCTTTAGTACCAATTGAGCATCGTTTAAATGCCACGGCCTACCTGAGTATTGTTGCTGACCATGTCCATCCCTTCATGACTACAATGTCCCCATCTTCTGATGGCTCCTTCCAGCGGGATAATGCCCCATATCACAAAGCTCCAATCATCTCCAACTGGTTTCTGGAACATGACAATGAGGTCACTGTACTCCAATGGCCTCCACCGTCACCAGATCTCCATCCAATAGTGAAACCTTTGGGATGTGGTGGAACAAGAGATTCGCATCATGGATGCGCAGGGAACAAATCTTCACAATGACGTCATAGCAATATGGACCAAAATCTTTGAGGAACGTTTCCAACACCGTGTTGAAACTACGCCACGAAGAATGAAGGCAGTTCTGAAGGCAAAAGGAGGTTGAACCCGGTACTAGCAAGGTGGACCTAATAAAGTGGTCGGTGAGTGTATATTGTTACATTGCTCCAAGCTGAACCAATTTAACTATATAAATAAGTTCCATACCTGGAATCTCCTTAAACCAATCCTTATGTTTTAAATCTATTGCTTATGGAGTTCCTGCCAGTAACACTACTTCCGGTTCCAGGAGAGCCACTGCCTCTCAATTAGAAACAGTGTTTTCATCCTGTGTTCCTTGAGTTGGCCATTGGGCTGCCTAAAAGGTCTGACACATAGGCAATGGCAAACAGAAGCCTCCAGGTTGACTTGCATACTCCAGGTGGTAAACTTTGAAACAGATACTCCCCAGTCTGAGCTCTGTTGTACAGCCATTTCAAGAGACTGATACCAGGTCAAATCCAGGTACTTACTCTGCTTGCAAATATAAAAAGACATTTATAGGTGTACTAGTGGTTACAAAGCTGCATTCATTGTATCCTTTATAGCTGCCTGGAGGTCCACCTTAAGGGTTTAAACACGCTTGCCTTACCTGCATAGCTCATGTAGTTATTATACGGAGTGTTGACAAACGTTTGAAAGCCACAAGTTTCATTTCCGGGTCCAGGGTTGGGATCTCCGCAGCTCTTATGCTTAGGGGATGGGTTGGTATCGCGGCACAGATCCCCGGTTTCGTAGGAAGGATCTGTCTCCATGCATGGGTCGCTGCAGGATAAAATCTCCGAGATGCCACGGAAGACATGGTACAGTCCCAGGCTGTGCCCAATCTCATGGATCATGGTATGAGTATGGCCGGGGACTCCGAAAAAAGAAGGGTTCATAACAATTCCACCTGAAAAAGACAATAAACATCGATTTATCTACAGGAAGAGTGATTCCAGTTAGGGCTGTACTATGGTATCATTCTCTTAAAGACTTTGCAGAAGGGGATCATGAGGTTTTCAGCACTGGAGGAGGGCAAACCAAAAGGTAGGTCAGCCATAATGTGCAAGGATGGTATGTAGACATGAACATTATGGTAAGAATGGTTTCTGCTCACCGCATTGGCTTCTCTCTCTACACCTCCTTCCTGGGCCAGTTGCTTACCTCCCATGGTTTCCAATACCACCTCTACACCAACATCACCCAGATTTTTCTCTCTACTTCCCAACTCACCCCCTCGATCTCCTCACGTATCACAAATTCACTGAGCGACATATCCGTATGCCGGTCATATCACTTTTTCAAACTCAATCTTTCTGAAGCTGAGCTTGTAATATTTCCCCCCCACCATAACCTTACCATTGAGATCAACAACACAACCATTGGTCCCCATTGGGTCCTCCACACATGTCATGGTGCTAGGTGTAATCCTAAACTTGGACCTTCGGGACCCAAACCCAACCATTGGCTAAATCTTACCGCCTTAACCTCTGCAATATTTCCAGAGTGTGCCCCTTCCTGGCCAACGACACCACAAAACAGCTTATCCACGTCTTGGGTATATCCCGCCTTGACTACTGAAATTCCCTCCTATCTCCCTCTTCAGTCTATTATGAATGTTGCTGCCAGGCTTATATACCTTACTAACCGTTCCAGAACTGCTGCCCCTCTCTGCCAATCCCTCCACTGGCTTCCACTAGCCCAATGAATAAAATTCAAAATACTAACCACAACATACTAAGCCATCCACAACATCACCCCCAGCTACATCCCCAACCTCACCTGCAGGTATCACCCAAACCGCCCTCCTCCCAAGACATCTCATTCTCTAGCTCCCTTGGTACCTACCCCCACGCTCGCCTCCAGAACTTTTCCAGAACCTCTCCCATCCTCTGGAACTCCCTACCCCAGTATGTCTGGTCATCCCCCACCCTGTCTGCCTTTAGACAATTTTTGAAGACTCATTTATTCAGGGAAGCCTACGCCGCCTCCAGCTAAAAAAACTGTGTTCGAGTCACCTCCATCAGATCATCCCCTGCAGCTATTACCTTTTGTACCATCCACACCGCCCTTTGGATTGCAGGCTCTATCAGTAGAGTCCTGCTATTCCTTCTGTATTGAACTGTATTGTAATTGTACTGTTCCCTTTATATTGTGAAGCACTGCGCAAACTGTTGGCACTGTATAAATCTTGTACATAGAAGTGCGCACAGGGTGTGCCGCCTGTGCCTCGGCACACCCTAATCACCCCATGCACATTAGTATTATCGCTCTGTGTGTTTGCAGGAAGATGGGAAAGATATTCCACTTACACGCTCTGTCATAATAAGAGAAATGCTTATAAACTTCTCTTTCACTGTGCCGGGGTTATATTTACACCATATTGCCAAAAGTATTGGCCCCACCCTCTCAATCATGTGATTCAGGTGTTCCAATCCCCTCCATGGACACAGGTGTATACAATCAAGCCCCTAGGCATGCAGACTGCTTCTACAATCATTGGTGAAAGAATGGGTCGCTCTCAGGAGCTCAGTGACTCCAAGCGTGGTCCCGTGATAGGTGGCCACCTGTGCAATAGGTCCATCCGTGACATTTCCTGGCTACTAAATATTCCACGCTCAACTGTTAGTGGGATTATAACAAAGTGTAAGCAACTGGGAACAACAGCAACTCAGCCACCAAGTGGTAGGCCACGTCACATGACAAAGCGGGATCAGCAAATGCTGAAGCGCACAGTGCGCAGAAGTCGCCAACTGTCTGCAGAGTCAATAGCTAAAGACCTCCAAACTTGGTGTGGCCTTCAGATGAGCCCAACAACAGTGTGTAGAGAGCTTCATGGAATGGGTTTCCATGGCCGAGCAGCTACATCCAAGCCTTCCATCACCAAGTGCAATGCAAAGCGTTGGATGCCGTGGTGTAAAGCACGCCGCCACTGGACTCTAGAGCAGTGGAGACGTGTTCTCTGGAGTGACCAATCACGCTTCTCTGTCTGGCAATCCGATGGATGTGTCTGGGTTTTGGCAGCTGCCAGGAGAACGGTACTTGCCCGAGTGTAAAGTTTGGTGGAGGCGGGATTATGGCGTGGGGTTGTTTTTCAGGGGTTGGGCTTGGCCCCCTAGTTCCAGTGAAGGGAACTCTTAAGGCAACATTTTGGACAATTTCATGCACCCAACTTTGTGGGAAGAGTTTGGGGATGGCCCCTTCCTGT